ATTTTCGACTCCTAGCTGATCATGGTCGTGAGCTATTAATTAATTATTATTAATGGCATTTTCATTAATTAACTCATGTCTCCGTCAAAAAAGCGCATGGGCCCAAACCAACTTGGGATTTTTCACTACTGACTATTCCCTACATGATGAAAATAGTCTGAGTCTAAAAGCTTTTAATCACCTCGAGAGGTTCCTTCGTTAGATAAACTGTTAAGTATTTTTTAATTAATATAACATAGTGTTGGATCTAGTCAAAATTTTTTCATTTAACTTTTTGTTATCAGTACCATTGTCAATTTAACATTTAGAACATGAAATAAATTTGATATCTCTTTCATGTGATTACAACACTCTTTGAAAAAGAAATTTACTATAGTTCTTATAGTAAATCATAATGTCAGAGAAAGTTTGTTCTAAAAATTAATTTTTATTGCCTTTCTGAATTGTTGACAATATAAAAACAGCTTGAATCAATATTATACAGAGACTTCAAGTATAAGTCGTCTCTCAGATTACACACAATTGTATTTCTATATCACTTGAAAATTGATAATATCACACCATTCTCTAACATATTTAATCAGTTAACATTATGTTTATAATAGGATAAAAGATTAAAAAGTTAAACAAAATGTAAAAAAAACTTTTCGTTTATAAATGTATAAAAACAACAAAAAATGAGTTTCTTTTACTAAAGATTTTCGAGTATGATGTAACATTTCTATCTAAAAACGAATCAATTGAATCCATTTTTAATTGTATTATTTCTCGTTCTTGTATAAGCATATGATATTGAATAGAAATTCACTGATATCTTCTTTATTTTATTTTTGTAAACTATTTTCATTCATTCATACTTTTCACTCATCACATTGTTTCATAATTCAACGGATTACATTTTTTTTGTGTTACACAATACAAAGTCAACACATTAATTCACTTCTTTTTAAGAGAGAATATCAGCAATGAAATAGATTCTTTTCTTTTTTTTTTTTTTTTTTTAAATTAATTCATAAAAAAAATTTTTTTAATTTTATAATTTTTTTATTGTAAAAAAAAAAAAAAAAAAAAATAAAAAAAAAAAAAAAACGAGAAGAAAAGACGTCAATTTTTTTCGATGTAAAATTCTCCTGAGAGCGACCAAAACAGTACTTACAGGAAGAATAATAGTGTTTTAGATATATTATAATAAGAGTGTGTGATATCATCCGAAAAGATGTACTACTAATTTACCTAAAATACAATCTACATCCATCGTATGACAACTGACATTTCAGTTGAATAATCTTTATTACACTTGACTATTGTATTTTCAAGAGTCATTTTTTTTTTTTTTTTTTTTTTAAATAACTTTTTAACAACATCGAGAGTTAAAATTTTCTTTTGTAAATATTATATTCATCAATTGATTACAAATTCATTATCAAAGCATCACCTGAGGGAACCTTTAGAAAATCAGATTACTTCATATTCTTTCATTGGTACTTCTATGTCTCCCTATGTATGTATATTTACAACTTTAATCATACAATACATAATTATGTAAAAATTTGATAGTTCAGACAGAAGCTTAAGTTTTATGAATAGAGTATAAAGGCGTTTATGTGATATCCCTTCCTCCCCTTCCCCCGCCAAAAAAAAGCGTCAAATTGTTCAACGAATTTCATCAGGTAACGACCATATTCTCAAACGAAAATTGTAAAAATAAAAACAAAAAAATTATTTTTCATAATATTATTCTGTAAAAAAGACATTTTTGATAAATTACATAATATTGACTATCTAAATAGTCTTACTCCATTTATTTCCAATGATTTTATTCTTCGACACATCAATCAATCCGTGTTAAAATACTTTTCTTTATCAATATTCTTCTTCATCTTGTAGCCAACTGGTATATACACATTGATTATCTATTCTCTTATTTTTTTTTTTTCAGCTTTTAATTGTACCGTTTTATATATAAAAAAAAAAAAAAAAAAAAAAAATCACTTATTGAGCTTTTATAGTTCATAAAACGCCCTTGATTGTGCTTGAAAAGACAGCGACGAGAGAAAGTATATCACACACCAATTGTGTATGCTTGAAATAAATTGGAAAATTAGAGTGAAAGAGAAATATTCTTTTTTTTTCTTCTTCTTCTTCTTCTTCTTCTTCTTCTTCTTCTTCTTCTTCTTCTTCTTCTTCTTCTTCTTCTTCTTCTTCTTCTTCTTTTCAAAACCAGAAAGAAGAAGAAAAAGCACGTTTATACATTTCCGGTTATTTTTTTTCTTTTTGAAAAAAAAAAGGAAAAAGAGAAAGATCTTTAAAGTGTGAAAATGTTGTGTCAAGCTCTCTAATGTAGATCAAAGTGAAAGAACAGAGATCTATTTAGTAATCAACACAACATATACATAAACGGCAAAAAACGAAACATAAAATAACTGTGCATTCTCTCTCGTGCGCGCGTATTCATACACAAATCAGATTAAATGTTTGGCGGAAATGTGAATACAATGGGAAAAAGAAGAAGAAGAATCTAACACCAGAAACAGATCAGATTTTGTCTCAACAACATACTCAAAATTTACCCTTTTTTTTTTTATAAGATTTAATTGTTTTGAATAGAGAACGAGAGTGAGAGAGAGAGAGAGAAAGAAAAACTAAAAAATGATACTTTTAGAAGAAGAAGAAGAAAATAAAAACATACACAAGAGAAAATATTCCTAGAATGCGCATAAAAAGATGAAAATAGCAACTGACATATTTCGACTCTAATACTCTTTGTAGCTTTAAGCAAATACCAAAGAGTTGATCTCGTTTATTAATCTGATCTCCAGTTTTTCTTCTTTTTTTTTATTATTATATACGACTATGACGATATTCTATCAATTATGACATAATGAACTAATTACTAAACTAAACTAAAAATTTTCGATCTATGTTTTTATACTTTGTAAATTAAAAACAAAAAACAAAAAAAAAATTAGTAATTTTTCATTTTCTAAATATCTTTTCTAAACTGGCAAAGATAAATGGTCTTATATGTAAATAATTAATATATCACTTTTTTTTTGAAAAATAGTGTATTTATTTATTTTTTTTGGTTTTTGGCAAACTGTTGCTTTGACAACTAGTTGCTGTCATTCATAAATCATCTGATCACAACAACAATATCTATATCGACATTAATATACAATATGACTCTATTTCTTTTCTTTTCTTTTTTGTTGCAAATTAGCAGTGTATCTATACGTAAATTAGATTATATATATGATATTCGATGACGAAAATGATAATTATAAAAAGTACCACCCAAACTTTGCAAAGATATAGTGAATATGTTCAAACACACACACACACTTCTATGCCAGGTATATCTATTATCTAATTCAAGGTTATTTACAAAAAAAAAAAGAGGAAATCCCTCGATTACAAAAAAAGAAAAAAAAAAGGAAAGAAATGATAGATCTTTGTTGTACACGCAATAGACAAACAACAGAAAGAGAAAAAACAGAGATTATCCAACACAATATATTACATGACAAAAATTAAAAAGCATATGATACTCAATAACCATCTAAAAAAATAAAGATAGATAGGTTTTTTTTTTTGGGGGTACCAATATAAAACCAATGTCATCGAATTCTTCTAATAAGAGCAACACTTTAAATCTTATTCTATTGTCATTGAAAATCAAAAAACCGTGAAATAACAAAACAAAAAAATAACAAATGCATTTTATCTATATTCTAAGAGATGGGAGATATTGATACTAACTATTTCTTTCTTATCAATATGCTCGATTGTTGTTTATGATAATTTACTATGAAAACACACACAGTATAGACATGTTTTTTTCCTTCATACAATTGAGATATTTCTCAAAGATAATTGAACAATAGATTTCAAAATGATGTCCAATGTTTTATTATGTCTAAAACTTCAATTGTTTAATCAACAATTCATATTATTCTATTTTAATTTTGAAAATAATAGATAAACTTTATCATATATTGAAATAATAAATAGTAGAAGAACATTTCTTTCAATTATCAAAATATCAATGATCTACTAAGGATAAATTATTTTTTTTAAAAAAGAAAATCGATCATTTTCATCGAATTTCTGATTATGAAAGAAGTTTAAACAAGAAAAATAAAAAAAACCTAAGCAATAACAGTATGAAAGTAGAATTATTTAATAATTTAGAATTGAAATGTCAACAAAAGTAATATTAGGTGAACAGAATGACAAGTGAAATGTATCATTTTTTTAAATCTATAAAAAATTCATTTATTAGAGAAATAAAAAGGAGAAAAAAACAACAAGAAGACGAGTAAACTGATGATTAATAATCTCTGATTTATTGAAAACGAACTATATTTTGACATTTTTCAGATGAGTTGTGTTTGTTACGAAAGAGTAGGTTTTTTATTTATTTATCGAAATTCAAATTGCTGAAAGAGAAGAAAAAAAATTTAATGTTTTTATCGACTCATCTTTCTTTTTTTTCTCCCTCTCCACACGCTAATTGCATTAATTTACTAATGACTATGAAAAAACAAATGAATTTTCTACATGATTATATAACGAGAGGAAAAAGAGTAAATTCAAATATTTTGAACATAGTGACACAATAAAAAACACATCGTAGACAATTCAAGATGTAATAAAAAACAAAAATGAATGTTTATTATTTCTGTAAAAGATAGTCGACTTATTCTATGTTAATACTCACCTCTCTTTTATCTTATCTCATAACAAAAGAATTTTATCTTACATAGTCTGAGAGTACTTGGGACTCACTCAACAATATGATTTTTTGTTTTTAAATAAATAAATTCACATTTAAAAATTATTTTAAATTGGTAACATTCAACTTTCTACATACATCAAACGAGTTATTATTGCTTTTTTTATATAACTTACCAACTTGTTGATTGAATATTTTATCAAATGTATTTTCATACATTTTTTGTAAATGTTTGTGAGTAACACTTCGAACACTAAAATAGAGATAAATAAAAAATATACATAAAATAAACGTAATAAACGGTTATTTATTAGTAAAAATTAATAAATCTATTAGCTCATTTTAGACTATGTAAGTGAAATGAAATGGGGATTTGACAAAACAAAAAAAAAATACGTACGTTCTATCTGGTAATACAATTTTTTTACTAGCACTTGCTGCCGGTGTTGACTTTGATTTTTCCATTGCCATTAAATAGGATACATCGGCTAATACGGCTTCTAAATCGGCCATCTTTCTTTATTTTATTTTTATTTAACACTTAATTAACTAATTAATGTTTTAAGATGTAATAGTATATCTAATTGATTAACATTCTCTTATTTGCTAAATAACTAAAGAAATCAATATTGTTGCTTGTGTCGAGTAAACAATTTTTGTTTTTATATGTAAAAATTAAATATTATAGAACATTCTCTGTATATGTATGTGTGGTTAAAATAGTAGATCATTTAAAAATAAAATAACAAAAAAAACAAAAAAATTTACATTATACAAAAAAAGAAATTAATAATCAATTAATTCACATCTTGAGAGATGAATAAAAATTAGTTTGTTTAAAAGAGAGAAACGTTTTTACGTATATGACTAGTTAACGCTATTGAAAAAATATTGAAAAAACAACCGGTTTCATCTTAAAAAAAAGAAGATGATTCATTAAGAGAGAGAGAGAGGGAGAGAGAGAGAGAGAGAGAGACGATAGAGAGAGACATAGACAATGAGAGACACTGAGAAAGTAAAAGACGGACAGACAGAGAGAAGATTACATAATATTATCTTTAGAAGAGAAGACAAAGAAGATACCGTCTTCATATACTTTTTTTTCACTTTAAAAAACAACATCTTTGCTCTTTTAATTTATCACCGCGTTCACTAATTAATATTATTATTATTATAATTATATAGAATAGAAAGTAGACATTTTTTTTCCAATGTCAAAAGACCTTTTGCCAAACAGGTTCTAATTTTTCACTGACCAATATAAAACATAAAAGTAATGACTATAAATAAAAAGATAATTCTTTCATACATATTGATACTTTTTAATATTCAAAGTGCATTAATAAGTTAATAATGTGATTCGCTATTTCAATCGTTTACGGTAGTCTCTGGAGTTTTAGTTTATATATGTTTCTCGATTAATCAATCAGACCTGTTGCCAGATGCCACTTAAGAAACACAAAAGAAATATAAAACATTATTTAAATCCTAATTTGAATCGATATATTGGTTTTTTTGTAGATACACATTTTTGATCAGCTGTCATAAATTTCAAGAGTTATGGATGATAAGATAAAACTTTCTCATCTATGACAGCACTTAATGGTTAAAATTTTCTGACCGAGTTGACTTTCTTGAAGATTTAGTATTTCACTATTTTTTACACTTTCTTTCAGTAGCACTTGAGACAAGCTGATGTTTTTTCTGTTAATGCTCACTCCCAGGGCAAATTTCTGATTTAGTTTTCAAAACAGTGTACATCTGTTTTATAAAAGTTTCAAAAAGTATTGTTTTGACAGGTCATTCAGTCATGTAATGTAAAAATCTTCATTACAGGAAAAAGGACAAAAACTCTTCGAAAAGCGAACAAATTGCGGTCAGCGGTTGCAGAAAAAGCTTCAGAGAGCGGAATTTGTGGATTGGACCATCTGGCAGCTCTGAACCTGTTGCCATATAACAAACGTTCTACACTCGGTCCCATGACTTTCGGAACTTATATCTGCGAATGTATCCTTCCATGACTTTTGAATCCAAGGTAATGCTCTCGATCAGCGAGATCCTCCAAAGACCTTCAAAAGTCTACAAGTATTTATGAATTCAAGAAAATGGTCACATCTTCCTTCGGTCGGCATTCGCAACTAGGATAGTTGAAAAATGTTGTGAATTTGTCTGACTCTACGGAAAACGTGCACCATGTAATATAAAGCTAAAATGTTTTCTGGACACCGTGTAAGGATCCCAAGGGGTCTGGAAGTATTCCTAATCGATTTGCCATGATAAACTATCTACATTCTGTAAGTGACTATCAATCAATCTGAAACTTTTTTTTCTTCAGTAAATGAGAAAAAACTAATAAATTTGAAATAAATTTTCAGAAAGTAGATGTGTCATGGGATTTGTAGCAATGACCAGAATTGACCTATTTTGATTCGTGCTCTTCAGATGAATTCCCCTCGAACAGTTAAGAGATGCATTTTACTGTACTCAAGAGTGATCTACAGCTAATATTGCATGTTTGTGCCAGCTATAGATTTTACTGTTTGAATCGGAACTTTAATTGAATCGTTGCTTGTTTTCAGATTTATTTACAGAATGAAGTTAGTAACATCGATATTTCAAAAGGTAACGTGATCAACTAATTCTGTTATACAGCTTTTTGATGGGTTTTTGTTTCTTGTGTTTCCAGCATTCATTGATCCTTATTCAAAATTCTCTACGATCTGTACAAATGCGTTTAATGGCATCAGCATCGTTAAATCAAGGTAAGATTTTAGCTACTAAATGAACGGTTAGAAAATTGGAATGGATATTAACATTTTCTGACAGTGGCACCAGTAGCTGTTGTCACTCTCAGAGAGTATCAGCAACAGCTGCTACCACTTTCTTGTAAAGAAGCTAAATTGAATTATAGAAGACATGTAGAAACGATTTTGGTGCGAGTTAATAAATTTCATTACTTTAAAAGACATTACCTTTACTTTTAAAAAATTTTTCTCAATCTGCGACGGTTTTTGAAGGCCTTCGTTCAAGAAAGCGCTGAAACAGTGTTCTGCAGCACTGTTGAAAAACAACACATTATAACATTTACTATTTTTGCTGATGTATCTCTGTAAATACTGTCATAACGTGGTGTCTCCGTGTATTCAGTCTGTTTATTCATATTTCTTTCAGTTTTGCGAAGGAAACAAAACGTCTTATACGGTTTCTTGTGAGGCATATAGAAGCCGATCCAAGATATATTCTGCCATAAAAAGTGTCACTTATTCAAATTGTGTGACGAAAGAGCATTTATGCAGAGAAGAAGTGTGCTTTAGCGCTGTTACAGGTGTATTAAAGTAGTGCTTGAACACTTTTGGATAAATAAATTGAGCTCAAATACTAAGACTGACGGTTAATATCAACTAATCAACATTTACTTCCTGTTTCCGCTAAGATTGCATCATAAATGTTCTATTGCAGCAGTGCTAAAACAAAAACAGTCTGTTGAAGTGCACTTGACTACACTGTCACTTTTCCTCATACGTTCAGGCAATGTTTGAACACTGACCAATTGCGTTAAAACATACTGGAAAGATAAAACAAAACTAAAAGAAATATGAATAAACAAATTGAATACACACTACATTATGAAAGCATTTACAGGGATATATCAACAAAAATAGTAAATTTTATAATGTGCTGTTTTCCAACACTGCTGCCGGACACTGTTTCAGCGCTTTCTTGAACGAAGGCCTTCAACAACTGTCGCAAATTGAGAAAAAGATTTTAAAAGTAAGAACATATTAACTCATCCCTTTATCTAATATTATATGAGTCTCGAGCTTGTCGTTTGTTGCATTATATAATTCCTTCTAGATGTTAGATTCCAATCTGAAAAGGTTTCGAACAGTATTGAAACAACCATTTAGTTTTCGAATGCACGAATATGTGATGCTGATAAACTCGGTTATAATCACTCTCCTGTATATTGTAGCGCTCCCTTTTTTAAAGCAATGAAATTTATTAAGTCGCGCCAAAACCGTTTCTAAATGTCTTCCATAGTTCAATTTCAGCTTCTTTATAGGAAAGTGGCAGCAGCTCCTGCTGACACTAAGTGGCAATAGAACTGCCCTTTTAGAACATCTTGTCATTTTTCAAAAGCAGTATCTTTGTCTATTGATTTAATTCATTTTTGATTGTTTTGTTTCCTTCCAGCTCAATCGAATTCTCAATCAACAAAACCGTCACCTAAAACATCACAATCTTCTACGAAGAATTCGGACTATTTAGCTGCTGATATGTATAATTACAATGAATATAGTTATTATGATATAGAATTGAGTATGGAAAAATATCGTTTAAAACAACCATCCGCATTTGATAAACTCATTCCCGATCCACCACCCCCCAAAAAATAAAAAAGTTTTACCACTGTATAATTTTTCTATTTCTTTTCTTTTTTTTGAACAAGATGATGTAGTTTTTTAGTTTATTTTTTAGAGAAAGCAGCAACATGCACACTGAAATTCTTTTTCTGTTTTTTTTTAATTATAATGCTCGTCAGTACTGCTCTCTTACCAAAACAAAAGCATTCTCTTTTTATTTGTAATGGCAGAAGCTATATGACTATGTTTCTATCTTCCTATGACGGAACGCAAATATTTTCTCTCGGATTTAATTAGAGCTAAACTTAGAAAATCGTTTTTGTCCTCTTAATCGTGAATATAGCATGTACAGACAATATCACAACTGCAGATACCTTAAACGAAAGAAAAATTGAAATTGTAGCTGATAGCATATTTCTACCCGTAGATTTAGATTTATGTGCATGTGATAAAACACCATAATTTCAACTCTATCTAATCCGTTAAAACAAAATAAACACTAAACTTTGTTAGACACAGAACTTTCTTTAAAGATATTGAAAAAATAGATGTGTGAGAAACAAGTGAACTCATATCATCGACAATCCTTAATGGTTGTATATTCATGTAATAAGTGTCAGAACACTTCACCTTTTTCTGTATGAATTCTGATTCAAATCGGTTTCAACAATGTATACTGATCACGACAAAACGTCTTGTGAAGGCATATTATGCTACGTTGTGTTGTTCAGATACTTATTACATGAATACGGCCATTTTACGTAAAAGTGGACTTTTACGTAAGTCCGTCACGTTTTGTGAGATAGATGGCTCTTTAGCCAAGCAACGTACAGGGTTGGGGAACGTCTTATTTTATAGGTTAAAGATTTTTCTTTCAACTGGTAATTAAGCAAAGTCTACCAGTCGATTAGTTTAAGTAACATAATGTTTTTACTATACACCACTATCGTACAAAATGGCTTGATTGGCACGAATGAGGAGCAGATCTTCATAACGGACTTACGTTTTCTGGGTGGTACGCGTAGAATAGTCAAATATACACTCTTCAACAAGAACTAGGATCCTGTCTCTGATTCTAAAACATTGAGTCGCATCGAATTCTAGTTGTATAATTTTGACTTGATTCGTTCTACGATTTGTACCTATTTATTCACAGTGGACAGTTTTTAAGAAATACGATATTCAAACTGGTAATTCGGCGCACTCACATAGCTCTGCTATCGGGATGAAATTCGATTATGTTCTACTTTTTATAGTTTTTAAACCAATGGAGCTTGCGCAACATCTAGAATTGTACCCTCTAAACTTTTCTGTATCAATAAAAAATGCGAAAAATGCTTCTATACGGTCTTTCGTTTAGAAAATACTAGACACTACGTTATGAAAAAAGAAAAGTGAAAACTATAAAAAGATCAACATTATATGTTGTAGGTGTGAGAAATGATGCTATGCTAGTATAATCTAGAGGATTTCAAATATATCATACTGTAGTAAGTTTAAAGCTGTGATAGATCCACTTTGTAGCGAGCGATTACATCTCTCCTTTTAGGAAAAAATTCTCGAAAATTTTTCCAGTGATTTGAAGGATTTGTATCTCTGTATAATGTTCTTTCAGATGGCATCTACTTCATCATCATCATCATCATCTTCAATTTTATTATCTTTATTTGAATTACCCAATCCAGTTGTTATTAACATTATTCAACATTTAACTGTTTTTGATTATTTTCGTCTATTTGGTTCTTCCATTTCTAAAAATCAATTACCATCGTATATTCTCAATGATCCTCTTCTATGGTCCGATGTTGATCTATCACAATGTCAATTATTACCCTATGATATTTATCAATTATTTAAATTTTATATACAACAAAATTGTTCTCATGTACAAAAATTAGCTTTCACTTTACCATCAACAAATAAAGTTGGTATTGATCGTGCTGAATGTTTTGATTTTAAATTATTTACAAAACTTAAAAAAATAAAAATATTTACACATGATCAACCTTATATATGTCAAGATGCTGATGAAGATAAAAAAACTCATGATGAAAATCGTATTGAAATATTAAATAATTATTATTTAAAAATGATTTGTGCACAATGTCAACAATTAACAAATATTCAAATATACAGTTTTGATGAAACATACAATGTCGGTAAGTGTCACAGTGATTCGTATCGTCTTATTAAGGATGAACGGTAACGACGGTAAAGATTTTTGTTAATAAAAACTTTCATTTTGAATTTTCATCACTCTACCTACTCACAATGATTTGTAATAATACTATCCATGATATTTTTCTCTCGATTGAAACGGTGTCCAAACGCGTATTAACGACGAAATAATAGAAACACGTTCATTTGATGTTTGAAACGCAATTTTTAGCCATTTAACCGATATATGAAACGCGTTTCTGTTATTTTGTCGTTTACACGCGTTTGGACACCGTTTCAATCGAGACAAAAATCTCATGGATATTAACTAATCCTAATACAAATATTCCATCCGAAAGTTCTACCATTTCTGGTAAATCATATTACATAATCGTCAAAACATGAAATCAGATGCGGTGAGAATATTTAATGTTTTTCAAAGACAAACTGAAAAGTGAAGTAGCTGTAAAAAGACACTGTTTTTTCATATTTTTCATTGATATTAATCTGTCCATGACTAAAACCAACCACTGGTTAAAAACTACTCTGCATACATTATCGAAAACTCTGTAGTCATCGGTAATTTACCATTGGTAACAATAAAAAAACCAAAAAACTCGTCCCTACTCCTTATACGAGTGAAAATCATTTTTCTTTCAATGAAAGTTGGAGATCTTTCCACTCATGAGAGACCTATCCCAATGACTTTATCCTCAAAACATACATGATTATATGATAACTCTTGATGCTGATCACAAATCTGATATCTTTACGAGTAAATCTTCGAAAAAAAAACGGTCTCTGGAAATCCATCCATCCATTCTTGCCCATGACTCGTACAGATCCGGTTTTCTAGAAAACCACTTTTTCAGGAACGCTAAAAAACAAACCAAAACCTTCTTTTAATGAGGCACAATTGTAGTCCGCATATTTCTGATTAAAATGAGACGTCTCCCATCTTTACACGACCTTTCTTTGTAAAATTATAGAATTTACACGAAAAGCCCTAAATTAATTTCTTCTTATTTCTGTAGCTGACAATGAACACTTAGGGCTTTTCTTGTAAATTCTATAATTTTACAAAGAAAGGTCGTGTAAAGATGGGAGACGTCTCATTTTAATCAGAAATGTGCGGCCTACAATTGTGCCTCATTAAAAAAGGTTTTGGTTACTTTTTAGAGTTTGTGAAAAACTGGTTATCCAGCAAATCTTCAGAATCGGAAGTTTACATCTCGAAAGGTTCCCTCGTAAGTTGAAGAAATTTTGGTCGAGGCTCTACAGTAAATGGGAATGTAAATTCTTTCAACTCAGTCAATACTCTATGAAGGTTTTTCTATACATGTAACTCGACTTGATCTATAAGACAGACAAATTAAAATTTTTATCACGTTGGATTTTAAGTTAGGTTTCCAGAGATCGATTTTTCGAAGATTGAAAAGATTATATGGGCACGAACGGATAGCAAATTGGTTCGTATCTGGGCTCCAGAATTTTGAACCGGAGACAACACATAAATTTTTCGAAGCAGCCTGTAGAATGTATACGGAACGAATACATTCGGATATATAGAATGGATGCTCAAATGACAGTCAACTTCGTCGGTGACATTATCAAGAGAAGATCGTGTCTTTTTTCCACATTTAATGTGAGTGTTGCCTTTTGATGTTATCTTGCAATTTTATCGACTTTTTGGCTCACATGCGGATCATCAAATTGCAGTCCGATTCGGTCCAGAAACAAGCTTAGAAAATGGGTTTTTCCGACCCTGACGATCTCTGATGTCTAAGTAAGAGCAAATGAAATAGATGCAACTGGACAAAGGGTAAACAAAAAAGATTCTCCCTTACTGTCGAGATTTTTGCTATTTTTACCTTTTACTAGTTCAGTCATCATGAGAACAAATCATTTCTGTTTATAGATGTACGCATAATTTTTACTTCTATTTGTAGGTGAATTAAAATTAGAATGTATTCCACAATTAAATTCCGTTTCATTTATTGGTTATGGTATTTATGAAAATTTTCAAACCTATGATTTATTAAAAACAAAATTAACACGTTTAGAACTTGGTCGTTTATCTATGTATGGTATTATATCACAAATATTTCAATCATGTTTATTAGAATTAAAATCACTTGTATATTTTAAATGTAAAATTGATTTTATCGATGATGACGATGATGATGATTCATCAGTAGATAATTTAACAGATTTTACTCAATTTTTATCTAAATTAAAATATATTAAAGAAGTATATATTGACTTTTATTTTAATGTAACATTACCTCAATTATCAGGTGCAAATAAACACATTAATTTAATTGTTTTTTATCAAAAAATTGGTGAAAAATTGTATCTTAATAGTGAATATTATTTAGGTAAGAAAGTTACAATGAATGAATCTTGTATTCTTATAAATTAGACAAATTTTTGTTTTATTTTCTCGTTATTTAGAAGAGAATAGAGGCGAAAAATATGTATTTAATCGACATATGTTAAATTTAAAAGATTCAAAACAAAATGTAAAACAATATTTATATAAATATATTCTGTGTAATAAATATCTCATGACAAAAGATGAACTTGTCGAAACAACATGGTCTGATTTATGTTGGCAAATACAACTTTTAAAAACAAATGTTGATTTACAAGATATCAATGGTAGATGATATACAATTCAGACGGACATTTTGCAAAGAAATCGAAAATGATGGCTTTTTTTCTGTTTGAAGTTCGACAAGAGATGCACAGTGAGCACTTTCCTACTAGGCAGGCGGAGATCAAGCTGTTTTTTATTATCAAAAATAGTTATTTTTGGTCTAGAGTAACTCTTCATGTCTAAAAATAGCTTTCTCTCAAGAAAAAGTCTTCTGCATAAGAAACTTTTAATTTTTAATATAAGATCCCCTTTAGAGGAAGTTTTCTGATCGCGAAATGCTTGAAAATTACATCATTCGATGTTGTTTTTCGCGCTGATTCCAAATATGATCTCCGTTTTTAATACAAATATTCCTGGAACAACGGAAGAAAGCCACTTTTTTTCAGGACTGTACGCTAGCATCATTTATTGCCAATGTGTTTATTCTTTAATTATCAAGTGGATAGAACAGAAAAAATGAGTAAGAAATAGATTTAGACCATAGTAACGGGTGTTACAGAAAGAGTGGCGTAGTTTTATTTTCAGTTTCTCTCCTTTTCCTTTGAACTCATAGAGCTCATCTTATTACCAAAACATTCCCCATTCATTTCTCTACAAAATGGTGTATAGAAGATGATCCTGACCTTTGAGACACTTTCATAATTGAACAAACATCAAAATGTCCAAAACACTTAAAAAATTGAACACAAAAAAATGTATTTGGTCAGTATGAAGTTGAACGTATGCGTTGTTTCTAGAGCAAGTAGGCCAAAAAATGTAGCTCTTAAAATTCTCTACCGATTAGCTATAATGCGGTTTTTCTATCGTTATTTGTGTTTTCAGTAATGATTTTAGCAAAAGTCCTATAACCGTTTTTTCAGCTTTTTCAACCTGCATTTTGGAGCTATTTGTAAAATAAATATTGCTTAGACAAAACTGAATCAATCAGGCTCATTCTTGCGTCATTTTGAAGACAAATATTTAGTCTACTTAACTCACGTGCGAAACGGTTGATGTAACTTTTCTGAATAATGGAAATGTTGAAATTAGCGCATTTTGTTCAGTAGTGGTTGCCAGTTACGAACTAGTCATTCTTATCATATCAGACCGATGGGAAGGAAATGAGTCTTGCGTTATCTGAAAGAGGACATCTAAACGTCCTGAGAAATTATGTGCTATCTTCCTCTAATCACTTTCAAAATGGAGTTCAAACTTCAAAATTATCGTTTTTCGGACATTTTAATGTTTATTCAATTAAGACAGTGTCTCAAACGTCAGGATCATCTTCTATACGCCATTTTGTAGAGAAATGAATGGGGAATCTTTTGGTAATACGATGAGCTCTGTGAGTTCAAAAGGAGAGGAGAAAAACTAAAAATAGAAACTACGCCATTCTTTCTGTAACACCCGTTACTTGATCTCTGACAATTCGAACTCATGCAACAGATAATTGAATGATACAGAAATGAACGTTTCATGATGCACTGAAATAAAGAAATCAGGCTATTGATAGTCTAACGAGGGAACCTCTTGAGGTTATAAATTGCTTTTGAACTCGTACTACTTGTATCTTGTAGACCTCAGTGAGTAGTGAAATATCCTAAGTTGGTTCATCCCCATGGTGCTTTGTTGCTGAGATATTGAATTTTTAGTCAGTTTTT